TAATCAATTCTGGTTCCTTCAGCCATTCTCTCTTCCTCCTCTGACAGAGAAGTCATACAGAGGAAACATACGAACCACTTGATGTATAAGAATTACTGCCACATGATGGAAGAAAGAGCTTCTACACATATCAAAGATACTAAACAGGATTAAACAGTGTTTTTTATTTGGGGAATAACCCTTGCCATGTACCGCACACAAGCCTTTGCCCTGGAATGAAAGCACCACTCTTGACAAGTTGCTTCCACCTCAACAACTTGCAGCAACCTGAGTACTTCACAAACACAGCACACGCAAGGATAGTTTCACGTGGAACCTGGATGCTTTGGACAAGCAGCTTTTTCAAGAGGACGCCCCAAAAATCAGTCCTTAGAACTAGCTGTTACCCAGTCTCACGGCCACTGAAACCTGAAGTAACCTCAGTCACAGCAAAAACACCCTGCCGATTTGTTTGCTTTGCACATTCAACAGCCCTCGTGCCTCGCTGGTTCCATTAAGTGCTGGGCTGTTTGTGTTTGGTACACGGCACCAGAGATGGGAATGCAAAAAAAAAGAAATAAGAGCAGCAAGGCAGAGCTGTGAGATCGTCACAGCAGAAGCTCAGAGCTAAGTGATGCCCGTGTGTTTTTTAAAGTTTTTTTTTTTTTTTTTTCAGTGATGGAAAAATATTCACCTTGGCAGCATCCCTCAGCCATGATGAGCGCGTGCCATTAAAGGAAGAGAAAACTGTATCCAAGTGAAAGCACCAAGGGGAGCTCCGACATTATCCAAGCTGGAAGGCAGCCAGGGTACCAGGTGTCAGGCACACCTGCTCATCCTAAGAGCACACAAAACTCTGAATGCACACAAAAACAGTCAAAACTTGGTTCACACAAATAGCCAGAACTTGGTTTTCCAGCTTGGCCACAAAGACAGCTCCAAGAGCTCATGGAGACCGGGCACTGGGAGCTGTACCAGGGCTGAAATCATCAGGAAAAACAAAACCTGGGAGGGAGGAGACACCACGCAGGGAATCCTCCCAGGAGCAGCCACCCCTCGCCCAGCCTGGGCATGTCGGTCTCTGCACGGAGCACTCCGCACATCCCAGCTGGAAAAAGCTGCGTGATTTCACCAAAAGCCAAGCTCATTTCCAACTTCTCTAACGAACTGGGAGGGTTGTGTGTGTGTGTGAGAGCTGTCAGGCCGGCTCGGCAGTTTCCCGTGTGAGATATCCAGACCCCTGGAGGCCCAGGAACTCTTCCAAGGTGCCTGCAGAGGGCAAATGAGCAAAGGAAGCTTCATATCGCTGCAAAGAGTCCACGCACTCCCTGAAAGGCTTTGGGTCCACAAAGATATTAAAAGAAGCGTTGGTCTGCTAAGCTTCCTCTGTATTTTTCTCAGAACCTTTTGTAATTAACTGTGAGGTTGCTATCCTTCCACAGACAAAACAGAAGCAGGAATATTGGGACAATCCACATTTAGAAATACATCTAATTAAAGCTGAAGGATGTGTTCTTTATTAGAAGCATGGGGAAAGGCCCAAATTCAAGATAACATCAATACCTTCTGCTTGACTCTCTGCACCTTTACTCATCGGGAAACATTTCACACGCCGATTATTGTTCTGCATTGTGCTGATGGAACAATTTCCACAGCCACTCTGCCCCAAGGACTCGCAGCTGGCTCAGAATCCATCCCTGTGGATCAGAGGGGTCTGATTTTTCACTATTATTTTTAACTTTCCTCTTCTGAGAAAGAGACGATGAGGTATTTGATCAAAATGGGCAAAGATGGAAGACTAAAGCCATTGTAGCATGCAAAAATTAACTTCCCCATAATCGCGTGTAGTTTCTCAAGGAAGGTGGGGTGTTCTGAGCAGAGGCTGAAAACGAATGAGCTGCTATAATCAGTGAACAAAGGTATGAAGGCAATCAGAGAACTGTTAAGTTTGAGCTGAGGGTATTCCACACCTTTGGCTGGGTAAGAAGACTCTCAAGAAGGCTACTGAAAGTTAAAAGTGGGTATCCCATGGGTGAATGGTCCTGAAGCTACTGGGAACAGCACAAATACTGAACAACGTGTTAGAAATTAGCTAAGAGCTTCCACTTATGTTCCTCCTAACAAGAACAACCAGTCACCGGGCAAATTTAGGAAGGCAAATATGAAAATTCCTCTACATGCAAGCAAAAGCAAATGAAAACAGAAAGAAGATCACCAAAACCCTGCAGCAACATCCCTCGCTCTGTGATTACACCGCTCGAAGCCGCAGCTCAGGTGCAGCTCAGGCTGGGATTTGGGAGAGGCGTGGATGGGACGTGGCACTAAGGACGTGGTGTGGTGCTGGGACTCTGCAGGTCAGGTCAGTGGCTGGACACGGTGATCTTCACTGTCCTTTCCAACCGAGGTGATTCTGTGATCGTATGATCTGCATCCACAGCAATGCCTCCTGCACCTCTTCCAGGCACGATGGAAGAGGTTTCAAAGCCAGGAATAAAGCTCCCTTTGTTTCTCTCTACTGCCATGTCCCAACACAGACTCTTTTTTAAAGCACCTATCTAAATTTAGATTTTAACTTCGTTCCAAGAAGATTTTTATCTGTAGATCATTTATTCTATGTTCTTAAAAGGGCCACAATGACTACGATGTTGTCAGATGCTGCTTCCAGAGACTGACCAGAGAGCATAAGCCCCAGCAGACTGTAACAAAGCCATTGCTCTGTGTTCCTCCTCTAGCACCAGGCCAAGCAGCACCAGTCCCTGCTCCAGCAGCTACCACTCGTTCTCCTTGCCAGCCAGAGAAGTGCGTAACGGCAGCTGGCAAGCAGGAAGAAAAACATAAAAGTGTTGAGATCATGAGCTAATAGCAGAGAGAACTTGCTGCTGTCTGTGGAAGCTCCACGCAGGAGCACAGGGCACTCATGAGCACTACGTGGGTAAACAAATCACCACTGAACCTGGCTGCTTTGCTTTTGGACCTCCAGAGAAAGAAACGCAGCCACAAAACCCTTCGTTGCCTTGTGTATGGACTTCAACTTTCTTCAAGAAATCCACCTTCCAGGCTCGAAGTGGTAAACTCACTTCTGATTTTGTCAAACATATCAAGAAATATTTGTAGTTTCCTCTTTTTGCTTTGGTTCTCTGCAGACAGCGTTTGCCATCACACCCCCAGCTTGTGCCACCCCAGGAATTTCATTTGCATGCACTGGAAAACAAAAATCATCCTTCCGGTCCCCACGTTCTGATCCATCGTCGTGAAGCTTCTGACACCACCTCAACCAACCAGCACTGCACCAGCCGAGCCAGAACTCGTCCTCTCCCTCCACTGCTTCCATGTGGAACAGATCCACAAGCAAAATCCAAAGCCTTGCAGAGGAGAGGGATGTGAAAAGAGCAGGCAAAGATCCGTGAAATGACAGGAAGAATCTAGTGCAGGAGGGAAGCTAGGGGAAGGAAGGGAGCAAACGAAAACTCAGCGATGAAAACTTGAGTGAAGGCAAGAATGAAAAGCAGAAATTTGATATCTTTAGTGGTTTTTATTGTCGACAAGGAGACAAATAGCGTTCACCAAGTGAATTATTCAGTAAATTCCAGCTTTTTTTTTTTCCGCAGCTATTGTGACCAAGTCAATAGCTGTTCAAATATTGCCAGAACGATGACAACATTTATCACACTTGAGGTATCAAAACGCAGCCTGTTTGATTGGCTGTTATAAAGCTAGCTGGAAATATGTTATGATTAAAATTCTGCAAACAACTGACAACAGAGAAGTGCCTTGTTTTACTCCTGTGACCAGTATGGAGAAGAGAGGAGGTTTTTCATAGTATATTCATAAAACTATTTGTCAGCAAGCTGGAAGACGTTCACTAAATTTCCTTTCATCACTTTCTCTCTGCTTGAAGAATCCCTTCCTGTATGATTTAAGGCTGAAACTCAGTCTCAATGATCTTTTCCAAAATACAAATGCCATTTCGACCATGAAGGTTGTCTGTCCTCCTGTTAGCTATTTTAGGGTGAGCTCTGATGTGGTTAACGATGCAGCTCTAGTACCAGCAAGTCATTAGATCCTGAAAATCTATTTAAATAGAAAACATGAAGAGAGGAGACCAGACAAACCATTTAATCCAGGAAGTAGAGCTCTCAGCTAAACAATGAACTGTCTGGTGGAGAATTCTGGTTGCCTGATGTGGCCGGTAGCAATGAACTTTTCCCTAAACAAAGTCTTATCAATGAAGAAGTTGATGAGGAAAAGTAGTTTTTACATTTTGGCCTGGATTACTCATCTTATGTTCTCACATGATATCTCATATGATGATGAATTGTTTCAGAACCCCATCTGCAAAAGTCTGTGTCTCCTCCCCCCAGTTTTCCTCCCCAAACGTTCTCTCATTCTCACGCAGCCCTGGTGAAGCGTGCCATAAATCAGCAAGTCCACGAGCTTTGGGGAAAGGCAAATTCCAAGCCACCAGAACACGTCGTGCAACCAGCCTGCTAGCCTGGGAAGCAGCACGCTGAGATCTTGCCTTCAGTGAAGAGGTAAGAGAGGCTGTAAAAGCGCTCCAAGCCCCTGAGATAATCAGACACAAACCAGTTGGGGCTGAGCACAGAGCAACCAAAAGAAGAGCACGACCAGAGGCACCCCTCCCGTGGCAGCTGGGAGCACCCACCCTTACTGCACCTACTTCACACAAACTCACACACTATCAGGGCCAAGCACTCGCATAGTTCATGCAGTTAAGTGTGTGCTGCTTTGAATGTTTTCTACTTGTAAAGCACCTGGCTTTCAGGAAGCAATCCACAGAACAACAGGTTTTCTTCTTCTCTGTGTGGAAACTCAGTCACCTCCATCCCTGCTTGGTTTTTAGAACAGATTTGCCTCTTATGATCTCCCTGATATCATTCATCTTTGCCACCATCCCTCTGTTGCTCATTTCTCCTGCTGGTTAACCACCCCCATAAACTCCTCCTTCGAGACATATATTGGACGTGATAAATACATGAAAACAAACGATCGAATTTCTGTACCTGTACCAGCCAGATCCCATCTTTCGTATCTTCTACGAGCTCGTAGAAGTGCATTTCACCACTGAAGTTTGTACTTGAAACCGACTCAGAGGCCTCTTCCTCCTTGAGAGCAGAATAAAGCTCTCCTTCCATAAGGTCACCTGGAAGAGAGACAGTTGGAGAAATGCAGTTAAAACACCGCTTATGAAAGATGATTTAATAATGACAAATCCTATCACTAATGGCAATTTGATCTCAGAAAGTAGTTTCTCTAGAGATCTTTAAAATAGTTTCTCAAAACCCTTTTCAGTATGAAGGCAACTGAACTTCTACTATGATGTTATTTTAATTCTATCTACAGCAACCTGACTGTGAACAATTTGACTACGCTTATGATTACACAGGCGTCACACACACACAACCACACACACAAAAGAATAAATGAGCATCCTCTAAGCCTCGCTACCTGAAAATAATAGTATTTCAGTGGCAGACAGCAATTTTAATTCACGTATCTTTGCTTTCATTTCACAGGACAATAATTTTGCAGCAAGCAAATTCTTAACGCCTCTAACTCAAGCAGACTTCCAGAATTTCAATCAATAATTTGGCACTGAAAGACACATTGGTTGTCCCACTGTGAGGAAAGATCTAACACAGAACAGTTTAGCTGTTGGACTCTGTTTGCAAAGTTGCAAAAAAAGTTCCCATCAGCTCCGTCCTAGTGACATAAGTAGCTCATGGTAAAATTGTTCTGATATTTCCTCCGTAATCTCATTTCCTTCCCATGCTTTGTTTCACAGCCCTCACAAACACCGTTAATGACAATCAGCATTTTGGTAACTAATCTAGTAATCTTGAAGAAACGAAGTCTGGTTCAAAGAGGCTGTTTCCTACAAGATACTCCAAGAAAAAAAAGCATTGTGTTACAGGGGAAACCCTTAGAGAGCTTTCAAAAAGTATTCACAGAACTTAAAATTTACATTACATACAACACAAAAATATAGAAAAAAAAAGACCTGCAAAGCCTATCGGTGCTAGAACTGTTTCCATGACATTTTGAGAAGTCAGTTAATACAGTTTGTTTGGAGTTAAACACTTCCCTGCAGCATTTGCAGCCCAAACATAATGACATCATGGAAGTACGTGACAGCCAAGGAGTGAAAGTGATTGGAAACAAAAATGAAACTGCCTAATGCTTCTTGCTGTGGGAGCAGCAAAGTGAATAAACAACATAAATAAACAATGAACAATAAAAGCAAATTAGATTTAAGTGTCCAGCATTAATATCAATTATTAAAACGAGGTAGCATTTTCGGGTCATGGCACTGACTATATTCATCCAAATCCTTCTCTTTTTCTGTCTGGACTTTCGAGCCCCCTCGCTGCCTGCCCAGAGCACCAGCAGGTTTCCCTTTCCTCTATCAGCAGCCCTTTGATCATCGATTTAACAGCAGCTACGCAGGCTTCCCTGCTGGGCTGGCACTAGGGTTATTACATCAGCTCCATCTCCCGAGCCCTTTGGGCCATCTCCCTCTGCCTGCCCCACGCCAGCAGCCGCACTTTCAAGGCATTTTGGCAGCTCTGCCCACCTTCATCCTTCCTCACCCCTCGCTACTCAGCACCCCCCAGAAGCCCACCTCTTTCGCCTGCTTTCTGCCAACTTCTCAAACGCTCCCCTGCCTTTCCCCAGGCCATCTTTAGCTCGCAGGATCTCCTTCTGCTCCTCTTCTACAACAGCTCTGCCTGCCTCCGTGCCCACCTCTTCTGCTCCTCACCTACGGAAGCACCGCTTCCATCCTGACAGCAAGACCTGCAAGAAAACGAGCCAGCCGGGAGGGAAAGGAGCAGGCAGCAAAAGCCGGCCCCGGCTGGAAATAGCAACCCACGAGCCTGCATATATTTGGCTCCTTCCCTCCTCGCTCCTCACGGCGGATGACATTCGCTTTCAACCCCGACACAAAACCTCGCGGCAAGACCCACACCGCCCACGGCCAGGCCGAGCTGGCTTATCAGAAATAACCCTTTCCCCTCGGGGTTTGGGGAGGAAAAAAAAAAACATTTCTTGGCAGCCTGGCGGAGGCCTTCTCCTCCCCGCTCGGCGTTCCCAGCGTTTCAAACGCCGCGGAGCTTTTCCACGTCACGAGCCCGGAGCTCCCCCGAGCCTTCCTCCATTTCCCCCGCTGTGACACCTCGAGTTTGGGGGCACGCCGGGCCCCTCCTTGTGTGCATTTATGTGGCGAAAAGCGTTGAAAAGGGATAAATGGAGGTGTTTTTATATGTTTTGAGGCCCCTGGTTGTGGGCACAGCGGTGCCCTGATGCCCTTGGCTGGAGCCCCTGAGGCTGTGGCTGCAGCAGCGGGCGGTGGAGGTTTTGTGGCTGCTTGAGGCCTGGAGGGAAGGAGGAAAGGAGGCAGGAGGGGGAAGGAGAGAGGGAAGGATGAAGGGAAGGAGGGAGAGAAGGAGGCTGGAGGGAAGGAAGGAGGGAACAGGGTGGCAAGAGGGAGGCAGGAGGGAAGCAGGGAGGCCGGGGGGACAGGAGAAGGAGGCCCCTACCTGACTTCTCCACCAGCTCCCGGACATCCTTCTTCTCGGGCAGCCCCGAGTGCCCCAGCCCCCGGCACTCCAGGATGGTTCGCAGCTTCCTGAAGCTCAGCGCCACCGGGTCCACCAGCTGCGTGGCGAAGAAGCCGGTCTCGTACCACACCACGGCCTCGAACACCCTGGCCAGGACGAAGAGCAGCAGGAAATAGAGCAGCAAGAAGCACAGCTTCAGCCACATCTTCCCGCCGGGCTGGGGAATGAGGAGGAAGAGGAGGAAGAAGACGAAGGGGGAACGGGGCGAGGGAAGGGGGCGGCAGGCGGCGGCCGCGGGGCGTTGAGGGCTGCGGGCCCCCGGCCTCCCTCCCGCCGCTGTCCCCGCCCCGGCGGAGCCGCGGCCGCCGGCGGAGACATAACAAGTGACGTGCGGGGAGGGCACGGAGGCGGGCGGGGACGGCCGGGGGCCTCCCCTTCCAGCCCTTTTTCCTTCCCCCTCCAGCCCCTTTCGTTCCCCTGCCCTCCCCTTTCCAGCCCTCGGGGCCGCGGGGAGCCCCCGCCGAGCCCCGCGGGGCGGCCCGCGCCCGCCATGAGGCGCCTGAGGCGGCGCGGGGCTGAGCCCGCCGCGGGCGCCGAGTTTGGAGCTGAATAAATAGAGAGGAAGGGCAAAAAGAGGGTGTAAGGGTTTTGGTTTGGCGAGTTCAAGCCCAGGTGGGGTGTTTTTTATTAGCTACAAGTGTTTATTTAGCTGGAAACGAGCGCTTGGGCAGCGTCATGGGAAGGGTTGGCTGAGGCACTGCTGGCCCCTGGGGGGCTTTGGGTTGCCAAATCCACCCGCACCCACGGACCCACACCTGGAGACTGGATCCCGAGGAGGCAACACACCCCACAGAGCCAAGGGCGAGCTTTTTCCCTTCTGGAAAACATATATATTGTCAGCTGTGCTTCATCCTGTGGTGTTCATAGCTCCGTGTTGAGGTGCTCATAGCCCCATGTTGAGGTGTTCATAGCTCCACATTGAGGTGTTCGTAGCCCCATGTTGAGGTGCTCCATGAATCCTAACCCCAATCCACGCAAGAAGCATGAGGAAGGCTGTACAGAAGCGATTTAGGCAGCTTCACAACACGCCCGGGCTTTTGAGATGAAGGCTCTCCTCTTTTAGCAGCTCACCCTCGCCTCTGTAGGTTCAGTTATTTTAAGGGACCGTAATTTGCATTAAAATTGCCAACTCACACACATAAACGCAGAAATAGCAGGGCTTAATTTTGAAAATACTGACAACCCCCCGGAGTGCATATGCCTAAGTAATTCTGTACCAAGGCATAAAATTGAATTTTACGAAGACGCATTAATATTGACCTGCAGAAAGCATTTCAATGGTCATGCTCCTCAGAACTGTTAAAAAACATTTAGAGGGTTCTCCGCATGCTGATATGAATTACAAAGGGAAAAAAAATGCCAACCACTCCAGAAAATAAAGAAAAATGCTATTCCCTTTTCCTCTATCTTTCCCATCCTTATCCTAACCAGCTTGGGCATCCAGAGGCAGGTTCAGCCCCTGTTTTTGCAGCTGCGCTGGCCACCTTGAGAAGAACATCGAGACACTTGTCTTCTAAGCACTCGTGGGCTTCTAAACATCCTGCATTTATTCTTTGTATTTTTTATGTGGTGTGGTAACGACTAGAGGGTGGGCTGCACCAGCTCTGCTGCTCGGTTGAATACAAAGGGATTTCAGTGATCCGAAGCGAGCTTGGACAGAACGTACCGGAGGAACACGGGACAGAGCTTGTGGGAGGGCTGCAGCTCTGCCCTCTCCTTCACAGTCCCCGCAGTTTAGTGAACTCCCCCCTCGACAGAGCGAGGGCCCATCTCCCTAACGAGAAAGTGGCCGTGGCGCAGCATCAGGAAGATGAATCCCTTCCCCTTGGCAAAAACAGAACGGAGAGCGGCTTTGTTACCGCAGTTGGCAGAGCCCAAGGACTTTCAATAAAAAGCACGCTCCACAGCCACCTGCCAGTAGGAGCAGAGGCAGGCTCTCCTGGAGCACTGAAAACCCACCGCCAGGCCACAGTTCTTTCTCAGAAGCTTCACAAAGACCTTTTTCTTCAGTCACACGCTGCAAGAAGCTGCCTGATTTCTCCACTTTGTGCTTCAAGTCAACAGCTTAAGCGGACATGGAGTGCGGGATGGGAGGAAGAATCAGGAGCTGGGTGGCTTGAAGAGCAACCTTGGGTATTTTAGTCAGAAAATAGGTTCTTTTTAGTTAGGAAATAGGTTCTTTTTGTTGTTTTGGTTGGTTGGTTTTGGCTGTGAGCCTGCAGTCCCCTCTCCACCTCATCCCTGGGATCCTCCCCAGTACCTTCCAGGCCCGTGCCATGCGAGGGATGCTGCCTCCTCCGGCTGGGCAGCACCTAGCACCAATTAAATCTACGCTCACAGCTAAACTATTTGCGACACCAACCGCCGGGGAGGCTGTCACCAATATGTCATTTCCTACTGCTCATGGGCTGAGTTAAATCAATCCCTAACATTCCCCAGTGGTAACCGATGATGAGTCCCCTGCAGACACTGAGCTCATCAGCTGCCAAAGCTCAAAACCCTGGAGTCGTTTCAAGAAAGTAAAAATATTGTCTCAAACCACCATTCAAACCCCTCCAGAACAATCAACGGCGAAGAAACTGTGAACGCAGAAGCGCAGAGGCAACAGGAACGAGAGGGACAGGGCACAGCTGCCCAGGGGAGCAGGGCAGGACCAGGAACCACAGGTGAGGAGTTAACCAAAGGCCTGGAAGAGAAAAACCCGCTGCTAAGGAGCCAAGCAGCAGGCACGAGGCCTCTGTGCTGAATTGCTGGCTCTAAAAAGATTTATTCCCAACAGCTCCGAGGGCTGTGCTCATACAAAGCTGAGGAGCGTTGACACGTTAACAGAGCTTCAGTTTTTCTTCCTCCAGCTCATGTTTCAGGATGTTGAGAAGGGCTTCCTGAACTAGCACTGCTCCTCTGCTAGGTTTTGGGGCTGTCTTTCCTCCCTGCTTTTACATCCTTAGCTCACCGGGCTGGTCCTGCCATGTTTGCTGCTATGTATACAGCAGTTGGTTTCATTTCCTGGTTTCTAGCTCTAACTCAGCCTGTCGTTGACGTGTCACCTGCAAACAACTTTTCAGGGAGTTTTAATTAGCTGGAAAATTTAAATACCTTAGCAGTGAATTAAAAATTCATTTGGGCTGAAGACAAACAAGCCACGTGCTGACATTTTAAAGACCCTGGGGTTAACTCCACCTAATTAACAATATTAAACAGTCAGCAGCCAGCCGGTCCTGCGCTCACTGAGCAAATATTCCAAATGTGAGGAGAATGAAGCACATAAATTCCACCTTTTAACCAAAAAAAACAACAAAAAACACAAAGCAGGGATCTGCTTTTACACCAAGCTGGCAGCAGAATTATTTTACTATGATTTATGAGAGAATGAGACCAAATCCTGAGGACTGGAACAGCCGACTTTTCATGTCAGCCAGCCAAACCTGAAGGCTCTGCTGCCCGCTGATAAATGGGAAGGGTTCCCCTCCTCTCCTGTGATCAGCTGCTGCCTGTGTGGCCTGGGAGCGCAGACAACAATCTGCTTCCTAAACTCAGCCTCCTGTTGGGAACAGGAAGATGAGCGTTGTCATTTCTGCAGTCAGTGAAACTGAAGATTGAAAATCTGACTTCCATCCCTTCCCCTGTTAAAATATTATTGTGCCCTTTGTCTGGGGGGGCTGCGTGCCAAGATAAATTTCAGCAGCCTAACGTTTAAACGGCCAGAAACCCGCTCTTCCTACGAGTCAGCCTGCTCTGCACGTGTAATTGTTAGGAGTTCACCAACACACAGGCTCTGGATGTGTATTTTAAACAACACAGGTGCACCTCAACCATTTGTGTGCAGGATATGAAGTTTTATTTGTCATTAACCCATTAAATAAACCAGCAAACCTCTAGGTGAGTGTCCAAGCAAAATGTCAGCAGCCAGACAATGTGATTATACACAGAGGAATTTTCCATGAGAAGCTGTTTCCTACAAAAGGAAGGAGATTTAGTGCACAGGTGTCAATCTGCAATACAACAGCCAGTATCCGAGACCTCAGTAAGGCACTGGCTGTGGAGGTGAGGCGATCCTGACGTGACCCGGCAGTGAACCACTGGTAATGCTGGTTGGAGCACAAAGTCCGACCTCGTGCTCAGAGCGGGGTCAGCTGGGACACCAGGCAGCACTGCTCAGGGCTTTTTCAGTCTGGAGTTTCACTCTTCGGATCCCACAGTCACTCCTAGGCAGCTGGTGTTTTCTTTAACAGCGTGGAACCCTTTATGACCCTTGGAAACATCGGGTTCTGTTTCATGGCAGATGTAGGAACACACACATACATCAGGAAAACCTGCCTGAACGTCCTGAGGTGACCCAAGTGCCCACTGTGGTAAAGAACATAATTAAACCAGCATGTTAATAGCATAACCCCTCCCCCCACGGCATTTGCATGTCTTTATGCATCATACATGAGCACATAAAGAGCATGAATGCAAACAAAGGCAGCTCTTTGGGCCTGAATCCTAAAGAATGACGGTGACCTGTAAAAACCTACACAAGTCACATGTTCTTATGCAAAAATACTGTTTTCTTGCCTTATTTCAGCAGTATAGGCACAGAGGAGACGATACAGCTCCAGACTGGGACCACACACTGCTTTTCACAGCATCACAGAACTGTAGGGGTTGGAAGGGACCTCCAGGGATCATCAGGTCCAACCCCCCTGCCAAAGCAGGTTCCCTAGGGCAGGCTGCCCAGGTAGGCGTCCAGACGGGCCTTGAATATCTCCAGAGAAGGAGACCCCACAACCTCCCTGGGCAGCCTGTCCCAGCGCTCCGTCACCCTCACCGTGAAGAAGTTCTTTCGCGTGTTGGTGCGGAACTGCCTGGGCTCCATTTTGTGGCCATTGCCCCTTGTCCTGCCCCCACAAACCACTGAGAAGAAGTTGGCCAAATCCCTTCACACATGACTTTAAGTTTAACAGGGTCTTTGGTTGCATCACGCTGCAGAAAACACAGGAGCACGCCTGACTTGGTTTGTTACCTCCATATATTTAAACTGGAACGAGAATGTTGAGAAAAGAGCATTAAAACAAGGCCATTTCTCACAGCTTGGCTTCCACCAGATGCTCCCTAGATAGACAGGCAGCCTTTAGGGCTCAGCACAGCCCTCAGAGCTACTCCGTGCCCCACCTACCTGCGGCCGGGCCCCTAAGGCTGCACTACCCACACACAGAGACCACTCGGGGACTACCTCCCCTGACTGGAACGCTGCCCCTCACCCCTCAGCGAGCCCCCAGGCTGCCCAAGGAGCCTCCCCATGGGGTCTCAAGACAACAGGCCCCGACCCCTCAGCGCAGCGCTGCCCCCCGGACGCCATCTTGCCCCTTCCCCATCCCCATAGCAACAGCGCCTCCTCAGGCCCCCTCCCTTTAGCTGCCCGCCGCGCTGCCTGAGCCACCCCCTCCCTCAAGGCCCCCTCCCTCCTCCCTATACCTATACGGAGCCGGGGCTGCCCGCCGCGCTGCCTGAGCAATAATCACCGCCCCTCCCCTCCCTCCCTCTATCCACCGGGGGGGGTGGCCGCGGCGCTGCCTGCTCCGCTGCGCTGCTCTGTGAGGCCCCCACGGGGGTGGCCGCGGCGGTGCCTGCGCGGAGCCCGGGCCCGGTGGCGGCGGCAGCGGCGGCGGGGCCGGGACCAGGCCCTGAGGGGACGAAACGGGAGGGGGGGGGGGGAGGAGGGGAAGATCCTGAGGCGGCGCTGAGGGGAAGGCGGCGGCCGCCATGGAACAGTGCGTGACGGTGGAGCGGGAGCTGGAGAAGGTGCTGCAGAAGTTCTCGGGCTACGGGCAGCTGTGCGAGAGGAGCCTGGAGGAGCTGATCCAGTACGCGGGGGGGCTGCGCAGGGAGATCCTGCAGAGCGAGAGTACGTGGCGGGACCCCCGGGGCCTCCTCAGCCTCCTCATCCTCCTCCCCTCACCGTCAGCCCCGGCCCCGGCTCCCTGCCCCCTTCCCTCAGGGTGTGGGGGGTGAAAAAGTGCCCCAAAATGGGCTAAAACTGCCCCAAAATGGGCTAAAACTGCCCTAAAATGGGCTAAAACTGCCCCAAAATGGGCTAAAACTGCCTCAAAACGGGTTAAAACTGCCCCCAAACGGCCTTAAAAGCGGCTTGGGGCCAATTTGGGGTATGCCCCCCTCCCCTCAGCCTCCCCTCCCCTCTCAGAGCAGCCCCCAGGGTGTGAGGGGATCAAACCCCCAGCCTGGCTGCCCTCTGCCCTCCTTTTTTCCCCTCTTTTCTCTCTTTTCTCTCTGTTTTCCTCGCTAACTCGCTCGCTGGCCGGATTTGGGGGTGTGGAGGGTGAAAGCTGGAGGTAGAGGCAGCCCCCACCGGGCTTTGGGTTTGTTTCGCAGCCGGTATTAAAAAGCAGGGGTAAAAAAAGTCGGGTTAAAAGCAGGAACAGGCAGGCTCTGAGCCCAAATTTGAGGGTGAGCTGTGCTCTGTCACCACTCTCTGGAGCCTGGTGCTGTTTGGTTCAGGGCAGAGCTGTTTGCAGGCTGAGGGTTGTGCAAACACAGGTGCCAGGCTCGCTGCCGAGCCCCGATTTGCATGGAGAGCAAACAGGGAGCTCCAGCTCTGAGGCATCACTTTGGGGTGAAATAACGCCCGGTTCTTTCAGGTTGCATGCTGCAGGGTGGCTCGATGGCCTGGGAAGCTCCGTGGCACGACTGGGATCGATCCCTGTAGGGCTCTGCGGGGCTGGTTTGGCAGAGCCCTGCCTGCAGGATGCCTGCTCTGCATCCCCAGCCCCTACCTGCTCTGTAGGAACACACAAAAAACACTTACAGAGAAGGGTTGGGGTGATCCTGTCCCCACAGAGAGCATCCCAGACCCAGCTCTCTTTTATTTGGGACTCTAGGGTGAAGCTAATGGGTTACTTGTGCTGCTCAGGTATTTGGGAACTCTGAAATTTTGGTTTCTGTGCGTAAATGGCTTTCATGGGGGACAAAAATTCTAATTTATCTTTAATATCTTCTGTATAAACTTCTGATAGGAGCAGGCATTTGCGGCTTGTATGTCCCCTAACCTGAATATTTCTGAAAATTGGTGGGCATGGAAGCAGCCACGCATCTTAATGTGGAGTTCAGGGGTCAGAACTTCAGAAATATCCTCGTGCATCATTTCAGAGGGGAGAGGAAGGAGGAGGAGAACAAATAACAAACCCCAACCAACCACCCCTCGCTGCTGCAGGAGAAATCCCCGCTGTAGGACAAGGAAAGAGAGCAGAGACGTAGGAAAACACCGTAAATAGGCAGTGGATGTGGAGAGGAAGTGGGTGGAGAGAGAGAAATGCTCTGAAGCTGCTTCAGTCTCGAGGCTGCCCTGGGTTGTGGTGCTGCTGGAGGTGGTTTTTCTCCCGGTCACCCAGCCCCGTGAAACTCCTCGAGCTGTTTTCACGTGGCAGCCCGAGTACAAACAGCTCCGTGCGGACAGCGAGGCAAAGTTTGTGTTTGTTTTTCTTCCCCTCGTTCTGAGCTCTGTGCTCAGGGCTGGCTCCTTCATTCCTGGCTGCTTCCTCCTTCATTGTTCCGCTCTTGCTGTTTTTTCCCCCAATATGTGGCAGAGGACAGCGATCCACTTGCCTGGGGTAAAAATATCAGCATGTTTGGACCCAAATCGATGTTTTTTTTTCCAGGAAGAAGTGACTGTTAGGAGAATGTGTTTTATTTTCTGCCCGTTGGGTGATGCAGATCAGGGGAGCGAGCGTTTCCCTGGCCTTAGTTGTGTCACCTGGCCACTCGGTTTTGTCTCGGGGGCAAAAGTCGTGAGAAAGAAACTTAAAATCCTTGCTGTGATTCGAAATGTACACAAACAGGAACAGAAAGGATGCTTATTCCTGAAGTGGTTGTAGGAGGCCGGCTTCAAGTAACAGCTCAGCAAAATTTCACTTCTAATTTAGGATGTAGGAAGCCAAACTGGTGGCTGAAGGGATTTTCTCATTCTTATTACTCCTTATCCATGCGCTGGGAGAAACGTGGAGCACTGGGAAATGACCCCTAGCTTCATGGGACTGCAGGGGGGAAAAGTCAGGGCTTTTTTATTTCCCCCCCACACTCCTTAAAGGCTGTGTCTGGTGCAAAAACACTTCCAGCTTCTCAGCCAGGGCTGTGGAGGTGAACCGGAGCCGTTTGCTCTCCCGACATGAACCAGTTCTGGAGGGTGACAACTTCAGCTGGTTTTGCTGCTGTCACCAGCAGCTGAGCTGGAGGTTGGGAAGCAGAAGAGGAGGCTGAGCAGCGGGCGGCTGGTAAATCATTCCCTCCCCCTCCGACTGCAGCCCTTTTTCTTTGTGAGGCTGGGTTTCCTTTGCCCTCTCCAAGGCAGGCTGCGAGGAGCCGTTGCAGTTTTCTTTCTATTGTTCTGGCCTTGCCGGGCCCGCAGCAGCAGCTGGACACGGCGAATTTTGCCTCAACGTGAAATCCCAGCAGTGAACCCGACCCTAAAGCCTGCAAAAACACAGAACGGGAAGGGACCGAGCCCAACCAAAAGGTGGTCGGTTGCTGTTCGAAGCTTTCTTTCAAAGAGATGCTTTGGGTTTTTATTTTTCACGTGAAGGGTTCGGATCTGGAATGTTAGGAAATTATTTCTGGGCTGGGCTCCTTAAATGAGCAGTTAAGTGGCAGTTGTTAGGTGAGGAGAGAGAGCGAGGGGCTTGGGAACACTTCACATCTCTTGCTTTGCCCACAGTGGGGTCCTACAGCCTTGTGCTAGCTGGGTGGTTGGACAATAGCTTAAAAATGTCGTATTTTCTAGAGGATAACCCTTACCTGATCATCCACTCTTCTTGTAACTCTTTGATGTTCGTGGCCAGGGCCTCAACGGGCCACTTCTCATCTGCCAAGGAGAATTAGAGACCGAGTGGCTGAGCTCCTAGGAGCTCTTCCCTCCAGCCAGGAAGCAGAAGTTTCATTCTTCTAGACAGCTCCTGTCTCCAGGATGCTGTCTAGAAGAAAACTCACCCTGGAGTAGGTCAGGGGCTGCATCCCATCATATTCCGTGAGATTTTTGCTTTTCTTTGGGTTCTGTTTATTACTTTGCTGAACTTGAGCAGGGTGCCTGAGGTATTTACATTAATTTTTTAAAGCCTTGCATTTGTTCACTGTTCCTAATGGGGTGAGCCGTGTCCTGTACATCTTTCTAGATTGCATTTCTTTCTTCTAATGCCCTTCCTTGTCCCTTTATAGTGCTGCATACTGAGCGATGGAAGTTATCCTTTGTTCACAATGAAGCTGGTGATTTTCCTCTCTTCTTGTTTAGATCAGGATGGAGACTTGTCGGGGACGATCTCACTGGTCATGACGCAGTGCTGCAAACGGATAAAGGACACGGTTCAGAAACTGGCCTCCGACCACAAAGACATCCACAGCAGCGTATCCCGAGTTGGAAAAGCCATTGACAAGGTACGTGTGTTGTGGTTTCAGTGTATGTTGTGGTTTTGGTGTATTATTGCATGTATTCTATGATGGGTGCTCCTCTTCAAAATTTATATTTGTGCTGCAATTAATCTCAATTAAGCCTTCCTGTTAAATGCCAAACTATAGGGCTGGGAGCAGAGGTCAGACCAGGCGAGGTCTTGCTTCAGAACTCGTATACAGAGTCCTCCTTTTTGGAATACAACTCAAATCTGTCATTTCTGAGAGGACACACCATATAGGTGCTACTAGACATAGTAATCACGTGTTGTATTTGTGTAGCAAAATGCTTCAAGAAATCTTATTTATAAATACGCGCTGCGTTTCTAATTAATCTGGCAGTAGCAAATGACTCGGCGACGTTCTGTCCTAGAAGGCAGCCTAAAAGCTGGTGGAATTTTTAAAGACAGACATTTTGCACATGATTCAGGCGTGTTGTCGGTTCTTAGGGCTTAATTTCACAAGGTTTAGATTGGTTTTGATGGGAGCAGAGTGCGTTCAACTTCTCATAGTATCCGCAGCTATGCTGTACCAAGCAGTTAATGTTGTGCAGCTGATCTTTGAAGCTTCCTGTATGAGACATTTTTATGTGAATTCCAGGTTCAAGAATAACTGGGATCTGGATTATTTTTGTAGGTGGATATTAATAATTCTTTTAAATAGCTCAAAAAAAGAATTGTAGTACTAATTGGTGCTATGTACGTACTTTCAGGTCATGCTTTTCTCCTGTCTGTTCACTCTTACAGAGTAGTTCTGCAGGCAAAGGTTCTGTTAGTCACTTTTTTGGACTTTCAGTATAATACCTCATATCAGAACATGCTTATATTGAGAGGGTCTTAACATTTGGCGTGGGATCTGGTTTATAATCTTACTGAGGAAGACACTGGGCAGTGGTCTTTTCAGCTGAACAAAGACACTTGTAGCACGGCAGAAAAGAGATTCGTCCTTTGGGTGTCTCATTACTCTCAAAGTTTAAATGGCAATCTCTTACAGCATGATTTA